AGGATGGCTTCCTGTGGGACAGGGACAGGGAGACGGTGGCCGTGCCGCTGCCAGCCCCTCCCACCGCACCTGCACCTATCCCACCGTGACTCGGGCAGTGAAGCCAAGACCCCCGCCCCGAGGGCAGGGCCGGTGGCTCCGCACCCCGACCGAGGCAGAACCCCGCTTCCTCAGACAGGTGTGCGGTAAGTGTCGGGCATCCTGTGCCCAACGACAGCCCCGAGCACCCGGACGGTCGGCCCCTGGAGTCGTGAGCACTCAGTCATCTGCAGGTGGGTAGGAGGTCCCCGACCTCTCGGCACCGCAGGGTGGAGCACGGGACAGTGGACACCAGGACCGCGGTGCCAGGAACCTGGGCGGGGCACGGCCCTCGCTCCCGTCCACCTCTCCTTGCTCAGGGTAGGTCTTTGCCTGCCTCTGGCTTGAGGAGCCTCCAAGGCTCCCAGTTAAAGCTGTGATCGCCACACTGGGTCCCCTCTGGGGAGGCCAGAGGCGAAGGGGAAGGTCAGAGAGCACCCAGAACTATACTCAGCACTGGGCCTCATCCCAGGTCTCTGCACCAGGGACAGACCAGGGCCAGGGCACCTAAAGGCACCGTGGGAACGAGGCCCGGCCTGCCAGGGAGGGGCTGCCACGCTGCCAGGCCGAGTGAAGGTGCTGGGCCCCCAGTAGAAAGTAGTCTCTCCTGAAGACAAAGGCAGCCAGGGAGGGGTGGGGCAGCAGGGAGCGAGTGGAGGGGGGGGACCTGGCAGAGCCCCTCTCTGTGTGCCCCAACCCCTCGGAGTGGCAGTGGCCAGAAAGGGGCCACCCCGCCTCCTGGACAGCGTCTCGTGACTGTCGGCCCAGCAGGACAGGAGACCTTTGTGTTTCAGACGGGAAAGACTGAGCTGCAGCCCCACGGGGACCGGGAAGCCCTCCCTGAGGCTGAGGGCCACTTGGCTGGCCAGGGCCAGAGGTCAGGCCAGGAGCACGAGCCCACAGCCCCGCACGGCTGCCATGGCCTCTCCACTTTACTCAGCCAGGTCCCGCGTGGTGCCAGGAGCCAGACGAGGAGGCGCTGCGTGCACACCTGTGCCCAAGAAGCCCGTCTAGCGTGGTGCGGCTGCCTTGACAGGCAGGTGACCGGGGCGGCCTGGGGGCAGAATCTGTGGGCGAGTCTCTGGGTAGAGGCTGGCAGGGTCGGGAGAGGACAGCAGGAGAGCGAGTGGGAGGGAGGGCTGAGCGCGGGCGGAGCACCCAGAGCGCTGACAGGGAGGGGCCCTCAGGCTCTGCCAGGTGGCGGGGTGGCTCACCTGGCCCTCGCGGAGGATGTTCCTAAGCAGCGGCAGGTGCTCTGGGGTGAGGTCCCGGAGCGATCTGATGCCCCGGCGATGGCAGATGGCGATCAGGTACAGGTCATCGAGCTGCACAGAGACGGGGACACTGAGGTGCTGGACTCACAGGTGACAGGGCAGGGAGGCTGCTGGCTGGGATTCCCATGTAAGCCAGCAAGATGCTCCCCACCCAAGTGCCAGCCCAGCCAGCCAAGACCCCACAGCAGGGCGGGTGTCCACAAGCCCAAGGTGAATGGGCCAGGCTAAAGAGCAGAAGCCTGGGGCACCCACCCTGCCAGAGCATCGCAGTGTCTGTGGAGTCACCAGAGCAAGGGTGGGCAAGGGCGGCGGGAGCAAGGCAGGGACACTCCCGTCCTGGTCCCCGTCTCACTGCACGTGCACAGTGGCTCCACTGTAGGACTTAAAGGGACCAAGGACAGTAGGAGATGGCCTGCCAAGCTAGGGCAATCCAGGAAGGCCTCCTGGAAGAGAAGGCAGGGACTCTAGGTCTTGATCAGGAGGAAGGTTTGCAGAAAGGAGTCCAGGGAGAGGTGACAGTCAAACCACAGGCTCAGAGGCACGCCAGGGCCCAGGCACCTTGGCCTGTCCAGCCCCGGGCACAGAGGGCACCAGGCCAGCACCACAGCAGGCACCTTCGAGTCCAGATGTCCCTGTGTGGACAGACTCCTGGCCAGCCCTCCTGAGAACTGTGCGTGGCTGAAACCTGCAGGGACTACAGGGCCGAGAACGCAGGCACTCAGCCCTCGAGGAGACGGACCCTCCCTGCACACCAAACCCTGGCCTCATCTGCTTCTCACGCCAGGCGCCGGGACACATAGAGCCCGCGGTGCCAGCTCCAGGGAGTCACCCAGCCCCAGGGACTACACTGACAGGCGAGAGTGAGACTTGACTGCCCCCGGCCACCTGAGTCCGCCTCTCATACCACGGAAGCCCTCCTCCCCCAGGGTCCTGGGAAGCAGCCTCTGGCCTGAACCTGCTGTAGGCCCCAACGGGTGGCTGAGCCAAGAGCTCAGACTTCCGCCTGCCCAGGGGCCTGCCTAGACGGCCTCTGACAGCAGGCCCGGGAAACTGGCTCTCCCTCCATCTCGGAGCCCACGGGGTGCAGGGAGACAACCGACCTGCCTGGGCGCCCGTGGCTGTGTTCACTCGGGCTGTGAACACTGTGTCACTGTCATGGGACTCCCGGATAATAGGAGCGTTTGTCTTGGATGGTGCCTGCTGGCCAATCCCAGCATGGCAGTAAATCACACCTCGCTCCACTGACGAGAGCGAGGCCGGCTCCTGGTGCTGGGTGCCAGCTCACGGACAGAAGAGAAGCTGTCCTTTGACACCCGCCACGACCCAGGACCTGCTGTGGGTGGCCACAAGGTCTCTGCCCAGAAAAAGAACCTGGACACACTGGACCAGGGTGGACTGGGCCTCCAACTGGCACCCTGGCAGGTGGCCTGTAGGTCACTCCAGGAAGTCAGACAGGCACCATCACTCTTTCTACAAGGTGGAGCAGTGAAATCCCAGTGGCAGATTCCTGGACGGGCCAGACAGAGCAGCTGGAGTCCCGAAGAGGACCATGGGCCTCTGAGTGACGAGGCAGAGCGCTTCGGACCTCCGCCCCCACGGCGTGGACAGAGCACGGCACACGCATGCACAGGTGCAGGCACCACATGCAAGGACCACCTGGGAGGACACACACAGGAACAGCTGTTTCTGGGAAGGAGTGGGGCAGCGGTGCAGCAAGTTTTCCCTGCACCGTCCCCCTGCACACCTGCTCTTGACTACACTTGTAAATGAGCTAATCCCACCCAAGACAGCATAGGCGACCTTCCCTGGAGAGCGGAGGAAGGGAGGCCAAAGCCTCCGGGAGGCAGCTCCTCTGGCAAACGCTGGGCACCTGTTAGTATTTGCTGAGCAGACAGATGGAGGGACAGACACATGGAGACGGTCTCTGATAGAGGCTATCAGCCTGGGGACAATAAAGACACTTCCAGAGAGTGGTGAGCGATTCCAGGGGGCCAGGAAGGCTCTTCCTTCAAGCAGGGCCAAAGTCCTCCCAGCCCAAGGACGGGGGATGCATGTCTTCCTGGGGGACACACTGCCTGCTCCCTTGATGCCATCAAGGACGGGAGAGCTAAGCACAGCTAAGCAGCACCACACTTGCCTCGGACAAGTGGGGCCAGGCAGGTGGCTGCGACAGCCCGAGGGTGCATGTGCAGCCGGGACCCTGGTGTGGTTCCGGAAGCCCTTCCTGTCACAGGGGGACAGAGGCGCAGCTCTGCAGACGCCTGTGCCTGCTGGCACTGGGCCAGGAGGGGCGGGTTTCCGACCTCACTGCCTTGGACACAAATGCTCTCGAGGCCTCTGGAAGGGAGGGTACATGTCAGACTTCCGTTGCCCCTGTGGCCCTCAGACCATGACCCCCACCACCGCTCCCCCACCCCTGCAACCACAAGCTCTTCAGTCTTGAAGGGCCTTGTGACGCTACTTCTCCCAGCCCACCCCACTCCCACCCGCCTCCAGCAACAGCAGGCGAGGTACAGATGGGCTGCAGGGCTACTGCAGCCCCCAACTCGGCCAGCCCCCGGCCAGCCCCAGCGGCCTAGGTGGCCTAGCGGGACACTCTGCAGTGGAGGGAGCAGGGCCACCGTCCTGCACAGCCATCTTCCCTGGCCTTCCTGGGCACTTGTGTACTCCTACCCAGCTCTGGGAACTCCCTCCAAACCGACCACGACCCCTTGTCAGGAGACAGCTGGCCCGGCCCCTTCCTGGCAGCTTAGGTGTCACCTCACCGAGGCGGAGCCAACAGCAGCTCAGGCCCAAAGGGCAGGCCGCACCGAGAAAGCAGGAGGGAGCATGTCGGGGCAGCAGACACGGCCCAGCCCCAGGCGGTCCTGCGAGTGTCTCAGCACGTGAGCGCCCGGAACCCGAGGGCGGGGCCCCAGAGCAGAGAGCAGATCCGAGCCCGGACTCTCCAAGAGCATGGACCGCTGCCCCTCCTCCCCACATCCTTGGCCTTCTCCCAGCCCTCCTGCCACAGGCTGGGGAGGGACGCAGCGCCACCTGTGCTGACGCGCCAAGGCCATGGCCGGGGTGTGGGGGCAGACACCGTGGCTCTGGTGAGCCAGGAGAGGAGACAGCGAGGTGGAGAGGGGCTGAGGGAACTGGAGGGGTGGTCTGAATGCCACTGACTCCCCCAAACTGGCTGCTCAGAGGTCAGGAGAGGGGAGCTGTGAGGGCGAGAGGAAGTCGGGGTGCTAGAAACCTCCTCTGCAGCCCCCAGACTGGGCTGGGCCACGGTCTCTACCTGTCGGCCTGAGAGCACTGGCCTGCCCAACCCTGCTGGCGTCCAGGGGACAGCGCGGACACTCACGCTGCACCTCAGGGCTCTGGTGCTACAGGGGCAAGTTGGTAGTGGCCGCCGCTGTGGCCAGAGGCGGCCCCCAGCTGACCCGGGAGAGCAGGGTTTGTGTGTGGCAGGCAGGGCCCATCTCCAGGAGGGCTCAGGCCCTGCAGGTACTGACACCCTGCTCAGAGACGGGCCAGTGTGGGAGGGTGGGTGCCGGAGCCCAGAGCACACCCAGGAGAGCCCTGTACCTGCTGCTGGTTCCACTTCAGGTCAGGGATGAGGACAAAGCCATCACACGGGTCTGGGTTCTCAAAAACAATCCGGTCGGCCTCAGCCTTCTTGTCGAGGATGTTATATACCCACTGGAGGGAGAGAGACGGTCAGAAACCCACATGCCACTCCGGCCACGCAGTCTGGGCCGGGTGAGTGCTCGGTCCCCCAAGAAAGGAGGACCACGCCCGGAGAGGCCACGCTACTGGGCCCTCACCCCAGCTATCCTGGGCCAGAGCGTCTCCTCCAGACTCCAGAGACGCCACTCTCCCACCAAGCTGGCCCCGGCAGTCACACTGGTCACGCAGCCTCTGCAGTCCAGGTGGGCAGCCTCTTCTGGCCGCAGTGGTCTCACTCGCCCAGGCTACAGCTAGCTCATACAGTGACCCCGCCCATCCTCAGCAGAGGGCCCGTGTCTCCATGGAGAGGGGACTGATTGGCTGTCCTCAGGGCCTTCAGGCTGAGGCATGCTGGGGCCAAGGGTTCGGGGCTTCCTTCTGCCCGGGGACAGCTGGCCACCTGGGCAGTGAGCCTCTGGCCCTGGGAGGGCTGTGGGAGTCCCACCTACCAGACAGCTTAGAGCCAGGAGCCATGGACACAGTAACCTCACAGACCTTCCAGGGCAGCCTGGGCTTCCGGCCCTTGCGTTACCCTGGTACCTGCTGTCGGTGGTCTTTAAAGGACACTTCCCAAGTCCTGTAAGGACCCAAGGACATCGTTGGGCACTTACAGTACTGAACAGCCTCTCTGAGGAAGCCGACCGTGGGAGGTCGGGCCAAGACACCCCCGTGCCTGCAGAGCTGAGCCCCAGGCAGTCCTGCTCTTCCCTCCCTGCCCCAGCCCGAGGGCCCTTCCTGGCCAGTAACTGTCCACCCCACCCCATGCCGTCAGAGGCGGAGGCCAAGGGGACTGCACAGCCAGGCCGCCCATCCTTACCCCACTCCCAAAGGGCCCAGGGAGCTGATCCTGCCCTACCATGCAGGGAGGGGAGGGCACGAGTGAGGCCTGCACACAGCCTGCTCCTTGGGGTCAGGCCCAGCCGCACTCGGGGCAGAGACCTGCCCACAGGGAGGCTGAAGCCACAGCCTGAGCACAGAGAGCACAGGGCAGGAACGGGATCCGCACAGACCCCCTGGGACAGGAGAGTGCTACCTAGAGGGGAGCCCCAGGCAGCGGGTCCCACTGACATCTGCTGCTTCCTGGAGTACTGGCTCACTGACACCCAGCAGCAGTGACGCCAGAGCCCCCGAGCACTCCCCCAGTTCTCCACATCACACTCCCAGTCATGTCTGCCACGGTTCTCGCTCTGCCCACTCCCCACTCGTTCCCGGGACCCCCCGGGCATGGAGAGGCAGCCTCGGTCCTGGAGCCAGTACATGTACCCACGTGATGTGTCTACACATGACACGAGACTGGCTCACAACCCCAGGAGGGAAGGGCTGCTGACTCCGCTTCCCATCAAGGAACCCGGGGTTCAGAAGTTAAGGCCAACATCCCCACAGCACGGGACTCCACCATTGCAAGGCTGGAGGCTGAAGCTACGGCCCGGCTGGACAGGCAGCCGGCGACTTCAGCCCGTGGGCCTCGCGTGCTCCAATCAGGCAGCCCACCGTGGCCTGCACCTGGACAGCCGGCATTTCCCAGGCAGCAATGTGCCCCTTGCATCGGGGAGCCCCAGCACAGTGCGGGGAACAGACTGCTTGTCACCCGGGGGGCTGCCGGGAGACTAGAGGACGTGGCAGCGTTCAGAACGGCTTCGGGCGCCCACTGAGCACTCAGTGAACCCCAAACGGAATGCGCCGTCCTCGGCTCCTCTGCCATGCCCTGCCCTGCTACCCAGGCCTGCCTCGCATTGACCAGTCCCGCGCCCACTGAGTCGGGGAGGCCCGCCACTCACAGTGCCCCGACCTC